TCCCATATTTTTTTTAGTTTGAGTGTTGGTAAAATTAAAAAAAATTGTACTGATAGAACAACAAAGGACGGGTATTGTAACGAAAATTTAAAAAAATAGTTCATTTTGTCAAGTATAACTTTGCATATATTTTTCAATCATGAATATGTCTCTCTCAAAAAAGTACAACTACACAATCAATCGGTATTATCATAACTATCTCGGAGAGCGTCTGGAATGCTTAACGAATCACTCTGTATACAACACTTAGTATACTTAGAATTATTATACATTGAAAGAATATACCAATATCGACGATAAAATCCCGGACCGAAGAGATAAAGTTTATCAGCTTATAATAATAACATTGTTATTTAACCGTTGTCCACCGAAGTAACACACCTTATATTATTAGTATACACATTAGTCCAACGACAGCTGCAGCTGTGTGTGTGTTTAGAATTCATAACCGGGTAGGTACCACTTTTTTTTTTATTATATTGCCCGGTAATCGATTTTCCAACATGGCTGCAATCTCTATTGCTATCAGTCTTGTCCAGTGTTCTCGGTTTACTCAAATATAACATTAATATTTTACAACAATCTAGTGTCGGAAAAAAATATAATATAAAATACACAATAACGATAAAAAAAAAAACTTATAGTTTGTTTATAACCAAAAAAAAAAACTCGAGTCGCCTTCGAATACACTAATAATAATAATTGTCTCCGTATTGCAACACCAAATTCTCATTCAAGTACGTACCGGATATTATTAATAAAACAATAATTATTAAAAAAAAAAAAAAATACTTGTATTTTTTCAATACTTTAATGCAGGTAACTCTTAACCTAAAAGAATCGCGTTGACCCAGGTCGATATTTTATCTACTCATTTGATTACAAAGCCAATAATTATTGTAAAACACACGACATTTTGCGTTCTTTTTTTTTTCTTTAACTTATTTTTATTATCTGCATAATAGTAATTATGATTTCAACAGTAGATGCACTGTCTGTGGCTAATGTGTTTTGTTACTTTTAAAATACTATGTTGACACGAAATCAATAACGATAATTACACACGGTTCATAGGGCAACGTTTATATTATGTAGTTTGAAATAAAAAATTTTTACATTGCAGTATCTGTTTATCTAAAAACCTAAAAAGTCAATATTAATTACATCTATTTTTATTCACACTTAACCAAACGATTCGTGTAGACCGACAAAACTATTGAGAAAAAAAAAACAACACTGTAAATTCCGTTCATTCTTGGCGTTTGATCTAAAATATCAAAACGTCTTGTACGATATTCTACCTGCATTATGCAATGATAATATTATAACTGACTAATAAAAATATGTAACTGACTGATAACATACATAATTATTTTTTGCTCTTTGCCGGAGGTCAGCAATTTGAATTTATAATCTGTTTTGTTCGTTCAGTACATTCTGCCGTGACAAAAATTTGCCATTGTATGCAAAAATAATTAATAGAATAATTCATCTACTCTTGTGGTGTTTTTTGTAATAGCAAAATATATCATTTTTAAACGGGCGTGAATTCTAATGATGATTACAGTTGTTTGTATACCTAAAATTTGAGTTTTTATTAAAAAAAAAAAAAATGAAATGGATGTGTTTTTTACTTTTAAAACCGATTTGGTCGTGGCTTGATAAAAATAAAATAAACAAACATAAAATTTGATAATATTTAACTTCTTTTGAAATAAATGTAAAGTATACAATTTTAGTCACTTGGTTCTACATAAAATATTATGTTACTTAACGATGATAATATTCCACTTTTAAAAAGAGAAATTATTCTAAAAAAAAAAAAACGAGTTAACCACATCAGCTCTTAATGCATATATTATTTCTTATAAACAACATAGTTGATAAAAACTACACATTTTTTAAACGAATAGCTATTAAAAAATTATGATTTTAACCCTTAACTTGACAAGGGCTCGTTTTCAAATAACAAAAATAAGTCAAATAAAATATGTACTTTTTAGTTTGATCAATAAAAATTGTATAGAAAATATAATATTATGTATCAGGTGCCAAGTAAAGGTGCCAGTGCCAAGTTAAGAGTTATAAAAAATGAATGGGCTGGAAAATACTAACTAAAAAACACTTCAACCACTGTTATACATTTTTCAAAGTCAACAATTCCATTATTATTATTATTACATTTTTACATTATTTTCCATCGTCAAACTAACATGTTGTATAAATTTACACGGTCACGGATTATGCTTTGAAGACAAATAGTCGTAAATCGATTAGCTGATGTTTTAAATATTATTAACGATAAAAAAACAAAAACAAATACCTTTGATATGCACTTATCTGTACATTCATTAGGGATTACTCAGATTAAAATGTATACAATATATTTTTATGGCCGTCGGGCCGTGCAAATAAATATTGCACACATTTAAATATCAGCTATCCAATTTTTTTTGGTATTCGTATTGTTAAATCATAAAAAAAAAAATTGTGGTTTTAATATGACTTACTCGAAAGCAACGATTAAAAAAACATCTTAATATTGGTTTAGTATTACCTAATCGCCGCGGTACTGTAAAACAATAATACAGTTATCTGTTATGCAACTTTTTTTTAAAAAAACGCATAAATTACAACAATAACAGATTCGTGACAATTCTCAAATTGTATAAGTTTAGGACCTTGGAACAAATAATTCGTTTCGGTGTAGTACCTGTTTTGTGTTTTAATTTTTACCTATATTATACTAATATATTATGTTAGGTATTATACACTAACGTGTAACGACCGTTCAATGTACTCATCGTTTAACGATATAATAATAATAATAATAATAATAATAATAATAATAATAATAATAATAATAATAATAGATCATTATTGATTGTACTACCGAAAACCGTGTCCGGTTTAAACGGCACAATTCTGTGATGTTTGTTTGAAGACCTGGCTAAGAGAATCTGGCCGAAGACTTAGGGATAAGTGGAAAAAAACAATTTTCAGGTTTAAAATATATTTTTTAAATGAAAAACTGTGTACGTTTGGGGACATGTGGGATGGTTTTTAAATCTTAATATCCATATTATGTAAAAAATAACATTGGACGATTTACTGAATTGATCTAGTTTGCTCAAAAGAGTCATAACTCACTTAATCCGTAAGGCACACATAACATTGTGAGTCTGTGCAAAACGAGCCGAGTTGACTTGTCCATTAGTGAAATTGGTTGCAAGTGATATTTTGATTTTTATTTTCGTTATAATTTTATTAACCAATTTTAAAAATGTCCTTTGATATTGTGTAATAGTTTAAAAATAAGTCGTAAAGAATAATTATTAGTATTTTTTGTTCTCATATATTATATTAGACGAAGAAAAAAATCTAGTTATTTTCTCCGTTCAACGGAAAAACATTTATCTCTTATCGTTTAGTTCTTATCAATAATCTCTTATCTCTTATCACAAAAATTTTGTTCTATCCAACCCAATAACATATTCATGTTAAAATGTTCTCAGTTTTAATTACAATTTTCCCGAAAGTAGCAAGTTTAAACTATAGAATTAATTAAGATACAATTTATAAAATAAAATAATTGCAATACCATTATTACCAGTGTCGAGTATAATAAAACAAAAATATTGTTTTTCCCCTAATCGACCGATCCTGTGAAGTTATTAACAGTTTAAAAAAAAAAAAAAAAAAATGTCCATAATGTTCGTCATGGAACGGCTAACACATAGATTTATATTTTATGGCTATCTTGAAAAAAATCAAATAAATCGGGCATGCTTAACGTCTCAATAACGCAGCAACTAATAACGCGAGCACGAGCATTGTAATAATGTAATAATATTTCCATATTAAAAACAAATATTTTTTTTTTTCGATCGAAAAACCATAACCGGAAACGAAATTGAACCACTAACCGTGACGGAAAGTCTATTGTTGAATGGAACCGACAAATAGGAATGTAATAAAAAAGTGCACGAGTCCACCTATCTCTCAATGTCAGGTGGTCCCATTTGCATTATTATCAGTAGCCTTCAAAAAAATATATTATTTGCTTCGGGGCTTCAATTAATAACGCCACGTTTAAACTAAAACAAAATTTTCACTGTTAGGTACTTGTATGTTTTCTGTATACATTTTCGTTAGCACACTATTAATTTGAACAATACACCATTTTTGGACTAGAATTTGGGTCTTGATGAAATAACAATAATTACCACATAGTACAATATTATGTAATTTGGAATAATTATAATGGTAATATGTGGAAAACATTTCGGTTGAGCTCGTGTAATTGGAATAATATGGAATTTATAGAAAAAAATTACTGCATTTTCAATAATGTGTTATTACAATTAGCCATAACGTCCTTCGCGTCGGAGAAAAATATAAAAATTAACCACTCCAATTAAACGGTATTTTAATTATTATGTTTTTCATTTTTACTAAGGAAATAGTATTACTCTTGAGTAGATGTCTTCTAATTATAAATATTGTCTAAACATTGGGCAATTTCCTACCTGATAATGTTTTTAGAATAATTAAATGACATTTTGTCATTTCAAGTAATTTTTTTTCTAAATCTATTACCATAAAAAAAAAATGTCTTCCTTATAAATATAGTTTCTTAAAAAAAAACAATGTTCTTAGAAAATAACTATTGAATACCATTCCGAATAGTAATATTTCCACATAAATATTTTCCAACTTATTAATAGCCCTTCTTAATTCGTAAACGTTTAAAATAAAAATTGTATTAAATAAGTTATTGCTCCTATTTTTTTTTTAACAAGTTCTACAAGAAAAGTTTTTTTCTTAAATATGTTACCAGTCTGTGATCCGTGACCTATCGTACTGTTACAAGTCATGCCGGTCCGGTCAGGTTAGGTAGGATTCTAATTAAAACGTTTAATCTGTCACGGTGTGTAACTAAGCAATATTACATTTGACAAGAAAGTTATTTAAATTTTTTTCGTTTTTCTTGTTTGCAGGTATCCTTCCAACCGGCACGAATAGGAAATCGCGAAACGGTAAAATCACATAGATGACTTGATGTGCTTAAGCTGGATTCAAGCATGCACCGCCATACACCTGCTGTGGAGTGCGCTGTACATAAGCGTCGGCGCTGTTCAAATAGTGGCGGGCATATTCTTCTTGGTCACTGTGCCTGTGCTGAAAATAGGATCAAACATATGGACAGGGTCGTGGGTAAGTCCAAAGAAAATATGCACACTTCCATATTGTAGTTAAAAGAGTTAAAAAAACATTTTCGAAATTCCTAGTTTCCCAAGCCATTCTACGTTATATTTTATCTTGATAATAACCAAGTTGTTACCAAGTATAACCTGGCAAAAAAAATAAGACCACAAAGGGCGGGTGAATGCGGGACATAACGATTTATTAACCGTCTTAACCATTGTGGTCACTTGAAAACGTGTTATCATCTAGGAATCCATTGGGGGAAATGAACGATTCTTGTATGACTGATAACAGATGATTGATTAGAGAATCAGCTGATAACAGATGGTTGATAAGAAAAAGAAAATCAGCTTATCATAAGACATGTTCACGATCAATGTCTTTCTTTCGATAAAAAAATTGAGTGTCTTTTTTTTCTTAAAGTTACTGTGGATGTTAAAATCAGACAATTGTAATGCATACAATTTAAGGACACAAGGGAGGGGCTTCAGCCCCATAGCTCAACCCTTATATCCACAGTTCTAACAGTTTGAGATCAAATGTTTTCCCCCCAATAATAATAATATGAAAATAACATCCCTTCGTGCGCTTTTTCTTTGATAAAATGTTGGTTTTGTTAATATTGAAATAATAATTAATTTATGTATGTCTTGTGTTTGTTTTCGAAGAACGTTTTCTTCGGCGTCGGCGGAGCCGTCTTCTCGTGTGTGGGCGACTGGACCACTGCCAAACAACGGGGTCTTTTGTCTTTGACCGTTACCATTCTGATTGTGAACATCATAAACCTTATCATTTTGGAAATCGCAGAATGGAGGTACTTGACACCCGAATCGGCCAAACAAATCATGTCCAAACGGGGAATGGAAACACTAGTTGCATACGGTAAATCATTAGTCAATAGCAATATTCTCCAACGTTGATTTAGTAGTTTTTTACACGACAACGCGACTACCACCCTGGCTAGGTTAATATAATGGATAGTTGTTTTATTATTATCTAATGTGTCTTCAGTGTGTTATTATATTATACCCATCGGCCGCGGCCAACGTTATTGTGTAACGCGATACTCTATTGTAATATGATATTTAATGAGTTTTTATTGAATCGGTTTTTTGTTTGTTATTTTTTTACAGCTCGTTACACGACCAGCTTGAGCACATTAGCCGGCATAATAGGGTCGTTTCTCGATTCGCAAATAACTTTCTGCTGCATGCAGCGCAAAGATAAAACAAAGCAACACATCGAGCCAGAAAACAATTCCGACGTCGATTACATCATACCAAGGGTGAGTGCATGGAAATCATAGAGTTAAGTATAGAAAAAATGGGCAGTTTTACACTTTTGTGAATTTTTTTAGAAAAGTTTCTGTTACCCTTTTTGGTTTTCATCACTTCGAGTAGGTGTATAATTATATTGATATTTCACATTGTCACTTTAATAAAACTCTGAAACGGGTTTTTTTCGTTTAAATGTTTACCGAAATATAAACCTAAAGACTGCGCGACGATCAGAGCTGGCGAAACACAATCTGTGTTCAACGTTTAATTACCTACATAAAATTTAAATAAATACAAAACGGCGGCAATATTTCCTCATTTTTTTTAACGTGAAACGATGAAGGTTCGTTCAAAAAAACGAGTGCAATACTTTTCGCCAAGATCAAATTCTGTCTCATTGTCGATAGCTGATAATAAGTGATAAGGAAGTGTGATAAGAGATAAGGAAGGGTGATGTATTAGAGCGTTTTTCGCGATTTCAAAGCGAAAAGGGTAAAATCGTATGAATTATTGTCCGTCGAAAACACCTTTGGTAAACGATTATCTATCAATAGACATATTATTATGCTAAATCGGTCCAGAAGAACAGAAGTGTGGTCGTGACCTCGATGATTTATTTGTTTATACCGTGTAACCATTGTACAAACACGAGTTTGTTTTTGCCAAATTCCGTAACCTAATAACCGTATGCCAACGGAAAACATAATAATGATATTATAATATCACAAGACTAGTGTAATATTTAAACGTCATCACATTATTATTTTTAAGTGGTATGCGTTCTATTCTACCGGAAACTGTCGATTAATATTGTAGTTGGATGCCAAGAGTCGTTTACTTTCCGGTGTGGCCCCGTAATTAACCTACACCATCAGCATAGTTTAGAATTTAGACGGGACTGTAATATTATATCATGTACTTTGGGTTTATCGACCAGCTGTTGTTTTCCCACGCCGATTTTTCGTTGAACGTTGCGAAAAATAATTTAAATAAATAAATGTTTTCTACACGAGTGGTTCACACAAAAATTAGTACCTACCACGGCTCTCCCATCACTGTCGAATCGTGTTAACATGCCGACTAAACCAAACTACTGTGTTACTATACAGTTCTGACGGGAAACAAGTCAGGAAATCAAATTTTATCCAACGGAAATTGAAACCGCACTGGCCGATTTGTTAAAAACTGCATGGAAAACATCAGTTTAGAATCAAAGCAATACATTTGTTAAAGCTATTCTTGAATCCTTTTTTTTTTACACAACTACTTTTTGAACATTTATTAGCTTCGACGCTGAGCTTCTTTATAATATTTGTTTGTATCTAGACCAGCAATGTCTTCTTAACCGCTAAAACCGATTTAAATTTAAATAACTTTAAAAGTTATTATCCAAAACTAGTTGTCGACCAGTCAAAATGTTCAGCAAATTATTCTCAATAAAATGGCTTGAGTAAAAAAAAAAATGTAAAACAATTTAGGGCTATGGGATAGGCCAAACTTACTTGCAAAAAACAATGAAGGTGGGCAAATTCAATTTTTAGACCACCCTAACATATATATTTACAGAGTGATCATATTTTTATCATGAACCACTCAATATCTCATTGGGTATAATAATAAATAATTAAATTTCTTTTCTTTTTCTAGTGTTTTGTATAATGTGATCTCAATTTTTTAAAAAAATTGTATGTTCCCACCCTCCAGTCAAACTAAAAATTGTGATATCGACCTCTCCCATTCCCTTGTGTTAGAAAGTGGGTAAATACAAAATAAAAATTGTAAAAAATTGCGATCACATTGTACAAAAACATTATGAAAAACAAAAATTCAATTTTTTTATTAAACCCTATGAGACATCGAGTGGTTGACGATAGCATGATCACGCTGTATAATATGAATTATAATTAATATAATTATAAACATAAATATTGAACAAGCGTTGTTTTGTTGTTCAAGGTGAAATCCGAAGGGATAATCAGACAGGACAGCGGCGCCGGCATCAAAGCGGCGGACGCCGATTACGGCCGTTCGTGGGTGTTCGAAGCGGACGCCACTGGCGCGGGCAACGCTTACGCTTCGACCGAATCGCTTAGCGACAACGCGCGGCGGCCGGCCGCCGTGTGCGGTAGCCGCACGGTGACGCTCAAGCGCAAAGCCAAACCGGTGACGCCCGTGGTGATCGTCGAGGTGGACGGCACCGGCAGTCGCCCGGCGCAGCTGATGACCAGTTTCTCGCGGACGCCGTCGCCCGTCGGGTTGTCGGAGAGCTCGTCGCAGGACTCGATGATAACCGCCGGCGGCTGCGGCGTGGCGGCCGCTCCCATCTACGAGTGCCTGGAGAAACTAACCGAACCCTCGGTCTACCGGTCCCGCCTGAACACGGCCCTGTCGGTGGGCACACCCGACTCGCCGGTGGACCGGCCGCCGCCGCGCAGCCTGTCGCCGAAACCGCCGCCGGCCGCCGAGCCTGTACAGTACGCCTCGCTGATGGAAGAGCTGCAGAAGACCATAGGCAACCGGTTGTCCAAACACGTGGAATCGTCGGACGAGAGGTGGGAAAAGTGTCAATTTATTTTTCGTCTAATTTCGTTTGAGCTAATTAAAAAAAAAAACCGAAACTCTGTAAGCACTAAGCGCTACTTGTTTAACACGGATACACGTGTTCAGCGATATGTATAAAAAACGGTCCCGTTCAAACATTGTTTCGCGCTTTACTCAATTTTTTTACTCGTTTACTCAATGTATTTACTAGTTTACTCAGTTTTTACTCGTTTGCTCAGTTTTTACTAGTTCATTTTACTCGTTTACTCGATTTACTTACTAGATTTGTTTACACGTTTATTTGATTTTCTGACTAGTTTGCTAGATTTGTTTAATCATTTATTCGTTAACTAGATTAGTTTACTCGATTTATTTATTTACTCGTTTACTCGATTATTTAGTCGTTTATTCTATTTATTCATTATCTCTATTTAATTGCCACTTCACTAAATTTATTAATTCACTTATTCGATTTCTTAATTCGTTAACTCAATTTGTCAACTAGTTTACTCGATTTAGTGCACTTTTATTTACTCGATTATTAATTTCGTTAATTCTATATATTTATTCACCTAACTCGATTTTTTACTAATTTACTAGATTTGTTTACTCATTTAATTACTCGTTTACTCGAATTATTTACTAGTTTACTTACTCGAGTGTAATGTTCGGTTAAGATTGAAGACTGGTTGGGTGCTGTAAAACATATTCGTTATTCACGTGTTTATCCTTAAAAATATGTGGTAATTATATGTGCTGCTTTTCAGTTATAAAACGTTTGAAATGGCCAAGTTTAACACGAGTAACGGCTTTTAAAAAAATTGATTCGAGTGTGTGTTTATAAATATTTGATAATATGACACGTTTTGTTCTACTCAGACATGGGCGGTAATAGCGTCATAGTTCCAATCTATTAGATTGCTTCTATTCTGATTAATTTTTTTTTTTTTGGATTGTGTTGTAAGTTTGAATTTACATTTTTTATAGGTTAAGCTTGTTTTTTCTGGACACACTTTGCAACAAAAAAAAATATATATTATATTATATTATTGCGGTAGTTCTTAGCAAATACCGACAACCGTATGGATTTTTATGACACGAGCTGCCTGAACGGGTCGCATTGTTATTTATGTTTTTTTTTTTTATTATTGGCTGGCAATAACGTCGTTTGTGGCAAATTAGACGTTTCCGAACACCACTAAAGTCACGCAACTGGCAATTAAAACCACACGGCGAGCGAGTTTTGTTTTAACGGTGTACTAATTATAGCTAATATTATGATAATGAGTGAATAATGGCCACGGTAAAAATGGCCAGTAAAAATATTGGCCAAGGCTATACTAGCCACTTATTAGTAATTGATGACATATTATTTGGGATGGAGTAAATTATTTTACTATTAGATAACAGACGAGACAGACTATTGATAAGAGAATTAGGTGATAAGAAAACATTTTTCCATTGGCCAACTGTTTTGTTGGCTATTTTTTGTTTTTTCTGTCCATTGTATTCTAGACTCGGCTGTGTTATAATATTATTAAATATAGTGGCCAGGTTTATTTTTTAACCTTGAATTTTCATAATTTCCTCGTTGGTTCGCATAAAACAATAAATAACAATGCGTTCATTTAAATTATATTTTTATCGCTCACATAATAATTGCAACCGACTAACCTTACATAATTATTGCCGACATTGGTATTTTTTAAAACGACGATAACAATATTGCCCTAGTCCGTACTTGTTTTCCTCGGTAATGGATGAACTTACTAAGGACATAATAACAAAAAGTGTACGATGGCCGAGGTTAAGAAGGAGGTGACAACTGAAATTAAATTATTATATTTCTTAAACAAATATTTCATTTGATCTTAATGATCTTGTTAAAACATACAAAATAATTTAGTTTAAAACAGTTGAATATTAAAAAAAAAAAGAATAATAATAATGATAAGAGCTATTGTTAGCTGTTAATGCAAAAGTAATTAACTGTAACCGCGGTTACGGTAATAAGTTGCGATTGTAATAGTGACATTATTGATTGACGATTCAGGTTCAGCGCCGAGCTGGACGACGTGCTCAAGGACATCCAAGAGCTGGAGTCGCCGACGGGCGAGCGCAGCGCCGAGCGGACGGACGAGAGCAGCGACAGCGACGCGGCCAGCATGAAGACCACCAGGACGGTGATACTGAACGGTAAGCAACATCTGGACGATCTAGGGTACGTGTCGATGCGACAGGATTGCGCGCACCTGTTGAGCGTGTACGAACAGGTGGACTGCCGCCGGATCGACGGGGGCGGCGCGAACGTGCCGCCGTACCCCGAAGAGACCAACAACAACACCATCGGGCTGGACGTGACCGCGGACAGGCCGTCCTGCAAGGGCTGGAAAGCGTTGTCGACCATGTTGAAACGCAAGCACCGGGCCGTGCTCACGCTGACGCCCGAAATCGAGGCGTCCATCGTCAAGTCCGAGTGTCTGGCGTACCTGTCCGAAAAGGAGCTGGTCGAACGGTACGACCGCAACAAAATGGTGCACAGGGTAAGACCGGATCCGCGATCCGGACAACAGAGGTGCTGGTGTCGCCGGTGGACATGGTGAATGCGGTGATTGGTGATGGTGCTTCCCCCCCCTCTGACATTAAAACATAATATTATTGCATGCGTCGTGGTGTCCGATAAGTTGTACACGTGTCGTGTGGTGAATCTTTTTTATTTATGGTTTCTACCCAACACTGTGGGCCGGTATTTCAAATGTGGTTTATCTTAGGCTTAAGTTAAACCAAAAAAGATAAACCTAGTAATTTTCTTCTTAACTCTTAACTCTCATCTCTTATATCTTTATCTATTGTAAATTATCTCTTATCTCCAACTGAAAGTGGAAGTGTGACTCGAAAATGGTGACATCACATCGCATTTCTTGTACCCAGTCCAATAACATATCCATGTTAACTAGATTAAGGTGAACCTTCAAAAGTGAACGAGTAGTTCATTTTATTTCAATTTTCCACTCGGCAAAGCTTCAAAAAAACTATATTTGTTTTTTTGTTCTACAATTAACCTGTACGTTGATGAAGAGGTATCCATAATTATAGTATAAAAGATTACAAAACCACAACTGATTTATGTGTTAATCGTAAGACACTATAAATAATAATTATTCATCTATAATTTTATAACACTGTAATTATCATCATTTATGGTTTAAAAACCACAGATAAACTCGTTAAACCATACCCCGAGCATTGCTTAAGATAAACTAAAGCTAAGTGGAGCTTATCTCTTAAACTTCGATTGAAATAAAGAAAACTATAATCAAACTTTACTTAGTCATAAGCTTAAGTAGACATTGAAATGCCGGCCCCATGAATACTATTAATACATTACTAAGTTTACATGATACGAGTTAAGCCATTCTTAAATTAAACCCACTTCACAACGAGTCGACCTGAATTACCTCATTTGTTTACACGTGATATCAGAATGAAAAATTCTTAAAATGTACATGTAAACGTAGTACATAACCTGCTGTTTGGCTTGTGGCTGATCAACGGTCACATTAATGACAATGTCCAAAGCGATTAATCTATTAACAAATTATACATTTAAACAAAATGCCATTTTTTTTCAATAGTTAAAAATACGGTTTAATGACAATCAATCCAATCGAAAAGTATTATTATTTTGATTAGTTTTATAAGATTTTCTGTTATTTTTTTTTTAGTGTAAGACATATTTATTTGCATTTCAAAATACATGACCTAGCAAATTCAGACCATTTACGTTGCACTCTCATAGATGCATTTATTTCCTGAGTTTGGTCATTAAAAACTAAAACTAAACAGTTATATGAGCCACGTGGAAATAGATAACGAGAAAAACCCTGCTGACTAATAGTGCATCTACTACTGATGACTTTTGGACTTTTAAAAAGTTTCATAACGATAACGAACTACACCACTGATCGTCAAATCGAGATTTATCAATAGATCCCACGCAAAATAGACCTATCCTATTTTCGCCAATTATAAAACCGGTTATATTTATTTAATTATAACGAATAGACGTGATGTGTTGTCTGTCAAGCTTGACGGCCAGACTGTAGTGATGGATAAAAATGTTTGGAATCAACCGTGCAAGAAGAATACTACCTGTGGCAGAAATATGCCGTTTAGAGTGAAAGGACTATTGTGTATACAACAACTGTAGTGAAGTCACTGCAATGTTGTATGGAAGTGATCGTTTGGCGATGAATGAGAAAGAGACGAAAGGGAAATGGACGGAACTGAAATGTCAGTGTGGAGAGCGGTGTTTAAGAAGCAATTTGGTAGGTGTGCTAATGAGAGTGTATTGAGATGGTTTGGGCGTGTGTAAAGAACACCCAGACCCGAGGACGATTTCTTTAAAATAAGCTAAAAAGAAAATGATCATTTTTCTTGGACTACCTCCTGTAATCCGTTAATTTATCCCAGTAGTTATTGGTACTGTCTCTACCGATTTGCATCGGATTCAAAATAACATACATTGTGCTATGACGCTTACAAACATTGGGTCGCTGGCTGAGCATTTGCACAGTAATTGATGATGGTTTTATTCTCGTTGCGATGACGGTTATAAGTTTTATCAATATAAATAAATAATGCTACACCGCATATTCTCTTATTGCTGATGAGAAATTATCGCTATTTGTGAACTGTAGCTTTTCAATAACAATAATTATTACCTTACCTACCGATGGAAGTCGAGCATGACGTTTCCTTCAAGCAACGTTGTACTGTATTTATTGTCTGTAGACATAAATTACTATGTTAAAAAATGAGTTTTCCATTAAAACGCTATTTTGACGTTTTGACGGCCATCGTGCGGTCTAGAGAATCTTCTAACCGTTCTTGTACTTGAGAAAAACAAAACGTGGAGGATATATATTTTTTCCTGTTCCATCGGCTATCGTCTGAAGATGTCAGAACTAAACCAGAAATTTACCTTTACCTCGGTGTTGAAATTTTGTTGTTTTCGACGGCCGTTGCAAAGAAAATAATGAGCACTATCAGATGCTAATTAGGAGGTGACCGTAACGAACGAACTCGTTGAAAACACATTGTTTTGGGCCAAGGCCGAGGATGCAAATCGAATAAACTACGTGGTGCTAATTAATTATTGCCAGCGATAGGCATTGGTAATTGGTACTTGTCAGAAATCGAGTCGCCGGCGTTAACAGTTCAAAATGTATAATATACTGTTAGCTTACGGTGAATTGATGCACGTATTATATGTTTGACTAGAGGAAAATACCCAAACAGGGGATTGAAACCTTATGTTTAAGTTGAATAAGTGTATGTGAACATCATAATAATATTTAAAAAAAACAACATCTAGTGTCATTATAACTACAATCGTTTTTGTTTTTCACAAACATTAATTGCTTATAACATACCCATCACATGTCTAACATGGCCAGGCATATTAATATTACCTCGGTCGTGTCTTTATAATCTTCATCTCGGTAGTAAAGCGAGACACCGCCAAGCCAGTATTATGTTCAAAACTTGTTGTATATTTTAAAACGATAAAGAAAACATTTTTTCATTCTACATATTATTCTAAAATATGTTTAAACATTATAAAGTTGAAAGTTTAAAAAAAATACCGTTCAAATAGTGACGACACTCACTTCATGTCAATCGCGTTTTTATCACTGATAAGAGATTTGTGATAAGGTATACTGTTTCGCTGATAAGGGACAACCGATAAGGGAGTTTTGCGCTTTTTGGGTTTGAAATATATTTTTTTTTAATGTTTGTTTAACATTCGTTTTAAAAAGCATAATAACTTGTTCTATGTGTAACACGGTTCTCGTTTTGTATTGCTTAAAACCTACTAAACCCAGCCTCTCTGCCCCCTCTCTACATATTGTTTTGGCGCCACTGTAATTTAACACCGCTGAAAACGGGAACTGGTGGATGTGTAATTTGATCGTGTTAAGCAATGTATAACATTATTATTGACTATCTCGCCGTGACGTGAATGTATTTGGTTTTTTTTGTTCACAGCAAATCGAAGAAAGAGTCTGGAAAAAAATTAACGGCGCTTCGGAGACGGATTCTCCTTGTTAACCAGTGAAGCCGTCGTCCATAAGGAATCGCGTACCTATACCTCACCTACTTCACACAAGCTTTTGTTTTTTTTTATTATTACTATTATTCTTTTTCGTTTCCAAAAAAAAAAATGTCTATATTTATTTTATTTTGATTTATATATACATATATTTTTTTTAACCCCTCGTATACCCGCCATATTTAAAAGTGTTATTATTCTTTAGATTTTTCCCTATTCCTCCCCTAACAGAGCCCTTTTAGATATCTTCAGTTCTATCTTTAGGTTGTACAATGGTCGAACCGGGTTTACCATAATATTATTTTACATAGTACGTATAAATATATATATATATACCTACAGATCACGCATAAATGTTTAACAATATATATATATATCTGATTTATATTCCTATAATGATAATAATAGGTAATAATAACAGTAAACGATTCGTTTTTTTTGTTTTTTGTTAATCCCTACCGTTTAATGCAATATACACAAGGTTATAGTTTACCTATATTATTATATTATATACGTTATAATACATATTTTATTGTTTTCCTGCTGTTTGTTATAATATCTTTGTCTTAACTGTATTATCTTATATATATATTATTATAATACGTATTACGTAGCGTGAAGAAGTTACACGATAATGTTGTTCAATTTTCAAAAAAAAAAATGTGTTCTAAAAAATTATTTAAGATAATAATTATATATTAAATATAGACTAGAAATTGTCATTATTATTATTCACTATCACTATATAGACTAAGTAAGTAACATTTATTATTAAACAAATTTTATCTCTCGTTTATTATATACATATTTATATACTTTATAATATATATATATATATATATATATATATATATATATATATATATATATATATATATATATATATATTATTAAGTATACTATGAAATACTCGTTATTTATTTTTGACTGTGATTTTGATGTTTATCTATATAAATTATTATATTAAATTATTTGTAATGTTAGATGTGTACTAATAGAAAAATTAAAGAACAAAATTAAAATTTGAAAAAAAAAACACTGAAGATTGTATACTTGCATAGTGCCTATATCTATTTTACATGTGCGGTGAAAAAAATGTACTCTAATGAAAAAAAGAAATAGTTCAGTTCGTTCAAGATTTAAAAAAAAAAATCGTTAACCCTTTTCGGAGGAAAGGGTATTGTGTAATCTTCAAATGTGTCAACGTTTTCCTCTTTAAGCTTTACACTTGTTTTTGGTCTAATTCCATTAGTTGGATTGGGAAAAATGAAAACAAATAACCGAAACAGACTTATCATTAATAATGCGTACAAGACAATTTATTATTCTTAGAACATGTCGAATTGTAAGTAAAAAAAATAGGTAGGTACTTCTTTTATATAATTTCAATTATTATTGTCTTTATCTTCTAAGATATTCGACGGGTCTCGATTGTGTGCGTATGAAAAAATACATTTTTTAATTATTATATGTGGGTTTTTTCGGTTTTCATAGTATGCAATATTCGTTTACACTGAACAAACGTCTAAAAAAAAACGACCGTACGCGATAAATTAATTAAAAAAATTACCACTATTGCAATATCGTAGCTCTTGTGTAACAAAGGCAAATTATGTGTACCTAATACCACCTATATTATGTATACTGATATGAACTTTGAAGTGGGTACGCTGTAAACCATCACGGCCTTGGTCGAATTCAAACACATAAATTGTATAATATTATAGATTATTATTTTACCTTGAATTTATCGCGAAACCGAGTAACTTTCCAATTATTCAGTTCATAATGCATACACACACGCGATAGTTGTAAAAAAAATAAAACGTTTCCCAAAATAGTCTGGCATTATCTTCAACAACCAAATGGGTAAAAACGTTTCCAAAATCCGTCGGCCATTATCGGTGTAAACCAACGTGAGATAATATGACCGTTTAATATATTGTTTTCTAAAATATGTAAAAACAATGTGAGTACCCAATTATTAAATTTCGACCGTTATTATTGTAATTTTCATTCATTATAATATCATTGTCTATGGATATAATAATTATTAGTTTGTATAACACGTACATTATATTGGTTTAATATGTTATATTTTCTTAAAGAATACACACAGCACAACAATAGGGTCTTCTGCGGCGTTAAGATAACTGTACTATTATTTTAAGGCGTACCGTGTATACCGCCTATGGTTGTTGAACGGTATGGGCTGGTAGCTGGTCCATATTATTTTAGCTGCCCAAACCGTTAAAAATCGCGCCACGGACCGTGTAATAAAAAACCTGTCTAGTACCGCAAACATGGTTATGTTAACAAAATTGGGATACCTAAATTTTGGTCAACTCTCTGGCCATTTTATTTATCATTTTCAAAACCCATTTAACCAATTGAAAAATCTTAAGACAATTTCACCGTTTCTTTTTATTTCTGTTGAGAAATCCGAAAAAAGACGGTCCAACACAGTGAGCAACACTTTGTTTTTTAATTATTACTTAAGTGGACGCTATGTAGTATAGATATCTAAAAAATTAAAACGCTACCCCGTGGATAAAGTTCTTCTCTATGCATTGTGAAAATTTGGTAAATTTACTGTTAATACTGTCCTCACGCATACTTGTCCCGCGCAAAGCAGTTTTGATGGGAAAAAATTGTAATTTATCCTACAGAAATGACTGTGATAGTCTAACCAAAAAAAAAAAAATGGCACTCGACAAAGTATCGTCATTGTTGTATACTAGATATTTAAAAAAAATTGCCTATACTTTACTCCTTAGAAATGGCATGGTAGCCATTTAATGGATAGCGGCCCTCTTAATAATAACGCTTTCCGTTCGCCTTGACCGACTTTTTTACATAATTTTCATTTTATATAATTACTACTTTTAATTATTTGTATTGGCCAAAAAAAGTTATAACTTAGTAATAATATATAAATACTTGACACGACCGATAACGTGCTTAGCAACGTATAAAAGCAAAATCGCCAAGTTGATAAATAAACAATAATCATGGTAGTCGTTTACTTTTACTCGAGCAATTTTCTTCCTAATAAAATTCAGTGATTTCTTTGTCGTTTGTTTTCTGTGACTCAACAGTGATCGAATGGATTGCTTTCAAACTGAAAGACGACATCATTTTTGAAAAAGACACGGCGGCTGTTGGAAAACCATTTGTCGACCAATTTTAATACAGGTATGTTTATATTATTATTATTATTTAAATAGTATTTATTATTTAGTGTAAAGTAGAAAAATATTCAAACGGAAATACATACAACTTTCTTATAATATTTTATAATAATTTACAGTTATAATAGTTATATTATGAACATTAAAAACAATTTTTACTCTTCAACTATTATGTTCTGTTCTGTTGATATATGTATTATATATATATATAATACATACATATGTATTATGTATTATACTGTTTTATTTGTCTTAAATTTCATAATTAATTTGTATACTAGATAAATAAAACGATGTCTGTTTTTAAGGAGTTCTGTATAGGCAATATTTAAGAAAAGTTGCTGTTTTAATAAATTTCCGGTTAATTTCTATGAAAAAATGTTCAATAATTATTAAGATATAAGTATTTTGTTTAAATAAAAATATATTTTTATATAACGACCATTCTGTCTAAAACACTTTTCACCAAAATTTAACAATCACAAATGTTAGAGGAATTTTTTTATTTGAGAATTTGTATTTTACATAACTTTAACTTTGATGCTAAAGTGCACTGTTAAACTATACTACTGAATTTTTGAGGCCATACATATTATTCTGGATAAAAGGATTTACTGTAATTGAATAAACTTATGATTTACCTTCGTATAGATATTATTATTATATTTTCATCCACTGTCTGTAATATTATTATTATTATTTTTTTTACTTGAGTAGACGACAGTGACATTTTCATTACCGGTTGTCAGGGGAATTGTATGGAGTCTCAATGGAAAACAGTCGCATGACATACCATTCTTTAATAAGCTTTTCTTTTCTATATTTTATTACAATTGTACATTTTTTGTTTTTGAAACTATACCTGCATTCAACGTAATTCATCAGTCTGTTTTGATACTAATAAAAAAAAAACCCAAAAGAATTCCCCTAGTCGTAGGTTGTTATTATTAAAAACATATATATCTACTATTTAACTGAAAATAATAGTATACCAATTATGAAGAAAATGTGAAGTAGGTAATGTGTCACGCTTCTTTTAGAAAAACCGGAATGATACAGTTTGTTATTAAATGTAAGTATTGATAATTAACTATCAGTTCAAAATTATTATTTTCCAAAATGAGATTTACTCAAGTAGTACCTCCATAGATCCAAAATCGAAAAAGCCAACTCCTTCACCCTCAAAACCGGGAAAACCAGAAAAAAATGCCAATTTTTCAACTTCAAATTGGATTTGCAAACCTCGAATTTAACATTAAATAACCCTGCACCCCCTTATTTAAACATGTTGGGATGTCTTTTATATTAAAGTTAAAAGAAAGTGCGCGATTAAGAATATTTTAGCTGTCTGTAAACACAGACACTGAGCTGTATTAAGCGGCTTTGTTTTTTTTATAGCCGCTTGTTACAAATAAAACTTAACGATTATAATAATATCAATATTTGCTATAGAAAAATGTATTTTAAATATTTTCGTTTGAACAAACTCAAATTTCTAATGGCCTGAAGTTTTGATTACAACGGAAGAAGACTTCTTCAATGTTCAAATAGAATTCATAAGCACGATCGTCAATAAATATTTTATTCCTTTAACCTATTGAATTGCCTCACCACCAATGAACTGCAATAGCTACATCCTCCACGGAGTCTTATAATTTTATATTTCAATAGTATTGTTACAATTCCAAATGTTTCCTTTGTAAAAAATGGATGTTTTTTTTTCAATATTTATATTTTCTTTTGTTTATTCAATAAATTGATAGCTCACTCTTCAACCTCCAAAAGTAAGGAAAAAATAGAAAAACTGATCCCAAATGCAAAATCAGGGAGCCCAAAATCTTATTTTAAGATGTCTTTAATATTCAAACTAGGATGTATTAAGAGGCATTATTTTTTTTGTAGCCGCTTGTTACAACTTTCTTTTTTGTTACACATAAAATGCAATGGTTTTAATAATGTCAATATTAATTAACATAGAAAATGTGTTTAAAATATTTTCGTTTAAGCAAACATAAGTTAATAATGTTCTGAAGTTTTAAATGAAAATCTCATCGCCTACCCAAGCGCAGTATTGATATTATAACGGTATACAAAACACCTACTTCTTCGCATTAGTTAAACCATCACCACAGAAGAAATTCTAATTTTACTGTTAATTTTTTTTTTCAAACGCCTTTCGTCCATCATTCGTCGGTCAATTTTTTCACTTTTCAATATGTGTGTTTTCGACAGAATAATTATAATAACGTTGTGTCTGTGTGCGTCGCCGAAGCTGTTTGATAGTCTAGAAATACCGGTGAAAATTGGTAATTTGGATGCTCATGAAGTGAAAGAGTTGCTTGCGATATGCAAACCTTTTCAGAAATTAAAAATGAACACTGGATCTTTTTACACTGCGACACTAATAACTGGAGTTGCGGGTGTCACGAAACCACATTTGCTTTACAATGGTACTGCCAGGTATCCACCCTATTACAACATAGCGGTTGAAAATAAGACCTTGCACGATATATGTTACGGTGCTGAGACTCGACATATGTTATATGAAATATCGTTAAGAATAATAAATGTTGTGGAGAGTGTT